TGTGGTTGTTTTATGTTCTAATTTTTGAATTTAGAACTTGATGGTAGTTATTACCTTTTGGCTAATAACTTATCATTTGTGAGTGTGCACATCTCGTTCAATGTTAATTGGGTCGATGCGATGGCCACATCATAGACTGCAATACAATATACTTGCTATTGGTTCTTTACTAAATTATTAAGTCTTGACAAGAATATCGGCCTGTGCATCAGCACTACTTCAGTAGTACTTTTTAGCGAACAAATAGTGCTTTTCTCTCACAAGAAATCAGCATAAGCATAAGCATTAGCATAAGCCAAATTATCTATACGCACATATTAGTTGACTATTTAAATATGTTTTTGATCTGATTATGCGCTATCTCTGAACCATTTCTGGCATCCAAAAAAGTTTGTTTTCATATCCACATCCGGATATTATCTCCTCCGATCCAAATCTGACAAAGGAAAAATAGATTAGGATATGGGAGACTTTCTCCGATCCGATCTGTTTTCATGCCTACAATATATTCATAGATATGTTTTGTTGCAAAAGTTGAGATGCTGATTTTATCTTTTACTCAAACGAAGATGTCAAATTGCATACCCATGTGCACTAACAAGAGGCAAGCACATGCACACAAGATGATTTTGCATCCCAATTTATGGGCATGAAGCCTTTCTCCAAACATCAAGAATGACATAACTGTGAACAAAAATGATAGCTTAAGTCTGAGTTTTGAGCCTTAGATTGTGGTATGGAGTATAATCAGTAGTTGACACAAGAACTCCCATAGCGTGATTTATCTTAAGGCAATCTTCTATGAGAAAGTCTGATGTGTAATGGGTATAGTTCGACAATAAATCGTTTTTAACATGAGAAAAAGGATGCATACAAATTCAATACATCATCAAAGGCTAATGGTAGACCATAGATGGAGGTGCAAGCAAGTGTTGAGGAGTGGCGCACAATGGATGGGTCCGTGGGTGTGAAAATCAGTTTCCACTGAACACTAGCATGGAAATAGTTGGTTTTCTTGTATTTGCCTACACCAGTTGGTTCCAATCAGTCCAAACTGAGCTCCCTTACACTGATGAAACTGAACCGAACTCATTGGTTGCACCAATTGCCTAGCCCTACCCCACCAATCTAGCGAAACACTCCTGAATTGTGTCAGATTAGAATGGCTAGAGAAGGTTATTTAGATGTGATTGGGAAGAGGGGAGCGGATGGAAATGCAGTTGTCCCGTTGCCACCCTCAACATCGTCATACTTAGAGCATCTCCAATACTCCCTCCGTCCATTTATCTCCTTCATCTAAGCAATATTTTTTCTCCAAAAGTCTCCTTCGTATTAGTCTGGGACCACGGGTTTGGCTTCTCGTACGTGCTGCGCATTTGGTGCTCATTGGCTGCTCCTTGTCTGCATTTATTGTTCCTTGGCTGCTCATTGGTTGTGACTCCTTGGCTGCTCCTTGCCTTAAATGCAAATCGGCGTTGTTTACTGCTCCTTGGTCATTGCGCCAAAGGCTAATACGATGGAGACTTATGAACGGAGGAAGTATTTCCTAAAAATCAATTAATAAATAAATGTTTTTAGTTGCTAAAAATCAGGGAGTATATTTGTGCCTTTCAAGCAACCAAATACAAGTAATTTCAAGCAATTACAACAACAATGAGCACATGGGACACAAGAATTTATCCCGAGGTTTGGTCACCCCACTAAAAAGTGCCTACATCTTCGTTATCGAGGTGACTACAAAGGTCGAAGTCTCTTTCACATCCTTGCCTCTCAAGCAACCACAAAGATCATCTCAAGTTCTTCACTAAAATTTCAAGGTAATACAACTTTCTAGGGTTCTCCCACAAATCGGGGAGCTCTTGGACGATGCCTAGCTGGCTAGGGGGCAAACCCCAAGAGTAACAAACACAAATCAAACTGGCTTGACAAAGAAATATAGTACTCAAGTTTTGCTTCAGAGTTTCTCTCACCAAGAACCCTTCTATAGGAGCAAGAAGAGAAGAGAGCTTGTATGCTAGGGAGGTGTTTTGTTTGAAGGTTGCTCATAACGAATGAGTGGGATAACTGTTAGAAGAGAGACATGTGGTATTTATACCTCAAGGGGAAATTTAGCCGGTCGAGCGGTGTCAGAACTTCTGACGCCTAAGATTTTCGCACAGTAAACAATACAAAACAAGACTTCCATGCTGCGCAAGAAGAGACATCAAAACTTCCGACAAACATCAGAACTCCCAACGCACGGAAGTTGCAGGCAACCTCCGATGAACTACCGACATAATATGCGCACGCAAGCGTCGGTACTTCTGACGATTGTCGGAACCTTCGACGGATTTAGCAAAGAAAAGGTTGCGCACAAAACCGTCGGTACTTCCGACAGCCGTCAGAACCTCCAATGGTCAGAAGTTAGAAACCAACTCCTAACAACGTCAGGACTGAGCTGCGCGGGTCACATCAGAACTTCCGACAACTGAAGACTTCAAAACTAGCTCAAAGTGCCTGTGTTGTGTTTGAGTGTCTCTCAATTGATTTAATTGATTTTAAATAGGTACTTGAGCACTCTATCTTCTTTAGACCACCTAGATTTACATTCCTCTTAGTAGTGTGGCCATTCATAAACTCAAATTAAAAGATATAAAATAGGTTTAAACCACTTGAGTCTAGAAGCCTTTTAAACTTTGAATTAAGGGGTGTCATATCATACAAATCATCCTTTAAACCCTTTAAAGGACTAATAACTGCAATATCACTCAATAAACTTATTAGTCTCTAATTTGGATGTCTTTAATGCATCAAAACGCACATAGCGGACAAATGCGCTTTCATTGAGCCATTTTTATACTTTATTTCTCTCTTGTACAATTCATTAGGAAGCTAGTCCTTTCTCCTTTTCTTCCCCATGTCCTTCCACCTTCAGGTCAACTGATGGATACTTGTGCGTATATTTCCATGCGATTCGATCGATTTTACGAAGCGTAGAAAGATTGAGAGTCGAGATAAGGAGTTGTTGGAGAGTCTTTTTTTTCCAATTTTTCCAAAAATTAAGATTAAAAACTCTAGGAGATGCTGTTAATCTCCCAACATTGTGAACATACTGTTGACACGCAAAAGTGTCCCAGCATGTGGTTTGGGATGCACCGTCATGTTTATAACATAAAGGACGTGCTAGAAAATATTTAATGCAACACAATTGGAAGCACAAAGCAAAAGGAAGAAGATGACAACGGCGCTGTACAGCTGAAGTCGGCTAGGCCAGCCTCCCAAGCCGGCTAGGCCAGACTGCCTATGCCGGGCCAACCACAGAGCCCGAGCCCGAGCCCATGAATCCCGGCCTGGCTAGGTTTGAGCCCGGCTAGTTCAACTTCTCCTGATTCTGAACTGATTTGTTTCTAAATTGGGTTTTAACATGAGAAACTTGGCAAAACATGTTTTAGAATTGTTTCCTAATGTGATAAGATTACCCCCTATATATATGAGAGGATCATAACCGACTGAGGATCCCAACTCACAGCCATCAAAAAACGCATTCTACTACCTCTCTTTACCCTCTCTTCCCATCTCTTCTCCTCATTCTTCGTCAGTGTTGCATGGCTGGAGGATCAACGGCTATGACGCTCTAGAGCGGTCAGGCCAGCTAGGGCAGCCCATAGCCGCCGCATGCCCCGATAGGGTCCCTTCTGGACGTGTGAGGTTTCGGGTCTCAAGAAACCTCACCAACGTGTCTTGCATATCGCGCTCCCGGCGAGGCTCCTCCTCCGACGTGTCTTGCGTATCGCGCTCATCACTGGAGGCACATGGTCCGGGTGCGGACAACCATAGGCGCCGACCGACCCTAACTTCAGCTAGGCCTTACATCGAGCGAGCTAGCTCCTTACCAGTGTAGTGACCCAACTCGCCGTCAACACATACTAATTGCTGTATTAATCTCCCAACATCGTGAACATACACTAACTTACTACTTCCCCGTCCACAAAAGAATACAATTCACGCTTTTTGATAAGTCAAACAGTCGAAACTTTGACTAAATTTATATAAAAAGTACAAATATTTATGATACAAAGTAAGTATCATTAGATTAGTTATAGAATATATTTTTATAATAAATTTATTTGGAGACATAAATGCTAATATTGTTTGTTATAAACTTAGTCAAACTTAAATTTCTTTTATCGGCGTGTATCTCATAATTATATTCTTTAGGTGACGGAGGTAGTACTGTATTATTTGTAAAAGGTTAAACTTTTGACTGCCACAGGCGCTTGCGTGCTTCAATTCTATTGATTTGGTAGCAGCTTTCGCCGAAAATCTGTTAACGTGTTCCTGCGAGCTCGGTGGTGTGCGTCCAATCGAACAAGCCAGCCCGATCTGTACCTTAGCCCATCGGAGACCATGCAGCGACTGGTGACAACAAACCCGATCGCACGTCCACACGGCTGCGTTGGTTTTTTCAGTGAGGCTTCATTAAAATAGTGCACCCTGATGGACCGAGCCGTCCGCTAATAACCTGGTGAAGCGAATGCGACGACACGGCAGTGTGGCAGATTGCAAAGTGCCGATCACTAAAATACTTCACGCCGGATTTTTTTAATAGAACCGATCACAATCGCCTCCCGCGCGACGTGTGCAACGTGCCGAGCCGATACACGTCCTATTCCCGTGAAACAATCGGAGATTTGGTGAATCGCCAGCACTCTACAACAAGGATGTACTGAGAAATCTAGGGGACCTGCAGTCAGAGAGACAGAGAGGGCCCGGGCACGGCAGGCAGAGTGTTGCGGTTCCGGTTCAGAGTTCAGACCATCGCTAGACAGCGTGCCGCGTCGTCTCGTCTTGTCACACTCAGACCAGAGAGATGACTCGCGTGTGCGTGACCGCTATATAAACTCACAGCTCCTCCTTCACCAACTCATCAGCATTCAGCACACACCAAGTACGAGTCTCCAGCTAGCCTGTGCCTTTTGGCTATTCAGATTGCTGATCTCAGGCAAGCTAAGCCCGCGTCAATGGCTTCCTCCGCCGCTTTCGCCATTCTCCTCGTCCTCGCCGTCGCTGTGCAGTCCGCTCGTGGTATGCATATCCCCGCGGCCGCTGCCACGTTAAAGCCGTTTCATTATATATTATCTAAACGAATGCATGGCCGGTGGATGGTGCAGGTGGTCAGCTTGTGTGCGAGGAGCTGCCGCCGGACGTGTGCGGGTTCGCGGTGTCGTCAGGCGGGAGGCGGTGCGTGCTGGAGCTCACGCCCGAGGGCGCGCACCGGTGCCAGACGTCGGCGGTGGGCGGCGCGCGGGGCCTGGCCGGGTGGGTCGAGACCGACGCCTGCGTGCGTGCCTGCGGGATCGACCGCGCCGCGCTGGGCCTCCCCGTCGCCAGCGCCGCGGCCGAGGACCGACGCTCCTTCCGGGCGCTCTGCTCTTTGGCGTGCCGGGACGGGTGCCCCAACGTCGTCGACCTCTACGCCACCGTCGCCGCCGCTGAAGGTGCGTGCATTGATTAATTAACGGTTTATTAATCTCTTCCCGGCGTGAACGATTTTCTAACGTACGGTACTGTGATGACGATGGGTGCAGGTATGTCGCTGCCGGCGCTGTGCGAGGCGACGGCTGGGAACCGCCGCATGATGACTGGGATGGCCCCGCTCGGTGTTCCGGTCGCCGCCCCGGTTGCTGCTCCGGTCGCCGCTCCGGAGGCTGCGCCAGCTCCTTGTGAAGAATGATGTACTCACGATTTTTACTGCAGCTTGAATATATAGTTGATGCACAGTGTTGGGGTCGGGGAGATACTAGCCTTATGCAGTGCCATACGTAGTACGTGTATCCGAGATATTTGCATTGTTTTTTGCATGAAATAATAAAGCTGTACGAGAATTGTTTGTTGTCCCATGAGTGATCTGCAATTGGTTCTGTGCACTCAGATCTTCCTAATTTCCTATTGCAAGTGTTAAACTGCTTCTTCCTCGTGAAAAAAAAGCTAATGCTCCTGTGAGGGCGTCCGCTTCCGGGCCTGCGCAGCGATCAGGCCCAACATCAACGGGCTTGTGGCCCCTCTAACCGATTCCGCTCCCCAACTCATCTGTCTATACGTCGTCCACAATATTTTTCCACTCCCGACCATCCCCTGTCGCACCCCCATCCCGTGTCACGCCCGCCCCAATCACGCGCTGCACCGCGCGGGGCGTCCACCGCCGCACCCCCCATCCACCTCGTCCGTCGCGCCATGGCGTGCACCGCGCCACCACCACCCCAGCGCCATCAGGAGGAGGTCGCCGCCGGTACCGTAGTTCCCCACCAGGTTGGCTATGGCCACGTGAGCGAACACTATGTTTCAAGTGTTTTGGGTGTTTCAGACTTTTGTTTGGTGTTGCAAAAGTAGATGTCTGATGTTGCATATGTTGCAATGACAAAATACACATATTCCAAGCCTATGATTCAAGTGTTTCAGGTGTTTTAGACATATGTTGCAATATGTTTATCTAGATGTTTCAAAAGTATATTTTGATGTTGCACATGTTGCAATGGCTACACTCAGCATGTTTCAAGAGCATGTTTCAAGTATTTCATCTGTTTTAGACTTATGTTGCAAATGTTTCATCTGAATGTTTCAAAAGTAGATCGAGTGTTGCAGTCGACGTCCGCCTGCTGCTGATGATGATGTACCGCCGTGGTTCATGTGTGGGTACCTGAGGCCGGCAGACGCCTCCGCGCCGCACATCCACAGGCGGGGCAGGTGGGCATGGGGTCGTGGTTCTGCCATGTGGGCGTGGGATGGGTGCTGGTCACTGTTCCGCCGTGCGGGCAAGGGATGGGTGCTGGTCACAGTTCCGCCGTGCGGGCAAGGGATGGGCGCGGGGCTCAGTTCCGCCGTACGGTGCGGCATGGGCGCGGGGCGCTGGATGGGAACGAGACAGGGCGCGTGAGATGTGATGCGGGCACAGGGAGCGGAAGCTGCATCTGGACGCGGGCCCCGAGGACGCTAGCCTTATTAGCGGAAAAAAAGGTACGCTGTTTCTTCTCGCCTGAAGTCCCGTTAGAAGGCATCTCCGTCGCCGTCACCGTCACGAAGAGCCCCGTGTGCGCTCGGCCCGTGTTTCTCTTGGGCTTTAGCCTGTAAATACCAGGCGGTCGAAACCAGTAGTCAACGGGCTAGACTCCTGTCGGCCCGACTTGGCCCAACTGCAGCCCCGGCAGTTCGCCTCCGACCCCAATTCCTACTCAAAACTCCCCGAACACAACCCATCTCCGTAGCTCGTATAGGCCTTCTTCGGATGCACGTTTCAATTCAATCCATATTTGTTGAAGTATGTGTTGAAGTGGATTAAGTTGGAATTATCCACTTTAACATATACGTGAGATGAATACATGCCCCTCAAACAAACAAGACCATAAAACAAAACCGCTCCGCGCAAGGACGCCGCCTCCGCTCCGCTCCGCCGACCGCACCGTCCCCCTCCCAATCCCTCCGCCCAAGCACGCCGCCTCCGGTTCTCCTCCGCAGCTCCGATCGTCTGCTGTAATGGCGTTTGCTGCTGGAGACGCCTCCCGATTCGTCGGTAAGCCGCAGCTCGCTCGCTTCAGTTTGTTCCAATCCGTCCTGTCTTTTCGTCGCGTTCCGCCCATGTCCGGCATTGCGTGCTTGCCGGACAGGACCGTGTTAGTTAGACGCTTTAGATGTTTCTAGGTTTTGGTACGTGTTTGCACCGCTTCTTTGACAATTTCCTTGCTGGTCCTGCAGAGATTGGTGTCTGTCCGGACTCGAGCGCGACCTGCCTCATTCATAAGGTAAACGATGCTCTTCCCCTCCTCTGTTTTCCACTTGCTTGGACAAATCAGCAATCTCGCCTGTGTAAATTGTGGATGCTAGGCTGGAGCGAACTCCCTCGCTGGCGCAACTGCTGTTAAGGTTTGCCGGCGGCAGAACAAGGCTCGCAATGGCCAAGGTATTTCATGCCATATGCTAGGCCTTCTTGAAATATTGTCTATCCTTTAGGCTCGGTAGATATCTTGCTTGTAGGCTACGCATATTCCGTTGTACCAATCTGTTATAATCTTTGAGTGTTGTACAAGCCGTCTTGGCTATATTAACATGTAACAAGATCTCTAGGAGGTATCTCGTTCCACTCAATCTCACATGTTAATCAAAGCCAAATTCCCAACGGAACTGATCCATGGCACACTCCCATATATCGTCCTTTGCGGCATCTGCTGCTCTCTCGCTAAACTTCATTCCCGTGAGTGAGAAACTCTGCAAGAACAACCATCAGATGTGGCGCGCCCAGGTGTTCTTGGCACTGCGGGGTGCCCAACTCGCCGGCTACATCAGTCCGACGACACAACCCACACCGTCATTCCTTCCTCCACCGAAGGGCGACGACAAGAAGAATACTCCACCCACGCCCAATCCTGACTTTGAGGTGTGGATGGCTGAAGATCAACAGCTCCTCAACTACCTGCTATCTTCTCTCTCCGCGGCATCCTCTCCTAGTTTGCGTCTGCGGAGACAGTGGCGGTGGCATGGGCTGCCATTGAAGGAATGTTTGTCTCAATCTAGGGCGCGTGCGTCATCAGCACCCGTATGGCCCTTGCCACGGCGTCTAAGGGGGCGTCATCCGTCAGCGAATACTTCACCAAGATGAAGGCGCTGGCAGTTGAGATGGCATATGCTAGCAGGAAACTTGAAGGTGAGGAGCTGTTGTCTTACATCCTCACCGGGCTGGACCTCGAGTTCAATCCGGTTGTCTTCGTTGTTGCTGCATGGGTGGAACCCATCTCGGTGGGTGAGCTGTACACCCAACTTGACAGCTTCGAGCAACGTATGGCTTTACGGCGGCAGGTCTTCATCTCCCCTCTGTTGACCGTAGGATACGCAACCTAGTTAGAAACAGCCGTTTAAGTTGTCTCTTAAAATTCCTTTACATATTTCAGTCATTTGCTACCTTACTTTATCTATTTAACGCATTTATTATCTTATCTTGCATTTATTACCTTCATGCATTTATTATCTTATCTTTCATTATTACATTATCATGCATTTATTATCTTGCTCTTATTATCATTACCATCTTGCATTTATTATCCTGCATTTGTTCAGCTTGTTCGGACGGTACACTCGGGCACTGTAGCTCAACTGGTTTTGGATGATTAAATAGTATTCCGTGAGGGAGAATAAGCTAAAATAAGCTGGACATGACCAGCCGAACAAGCTCGTTATCTTTTATTACACCTTACTACAAATATCACAACATGCATTTTATCCTCATGTCATTTATTAGCATTATTCCACCAGTATTATCTCCTTTTCGTCCTTATTAGGGCATGTTTAGTCCACGAATTTTTTTGGGTTTGGCTACTGTAGCACTTTCGTTTGTATTTGGCAATTAGTGTCTAATTATGGACTAATTAGGTTCGAAAGTTTCGTCTCGCGATTTCTCACCCAACTGTGCAATTAGTTTTTTTTTCGTCTATATTTAATGCTCCATGCATGAGTCCAAAAATTCGACGTGATGGGCAAAAACCAAAATTTTTTGGAACTAAACGTGCCCTTATGCATATTTTATTTCATATTATCCTCACTTTTGTCACTTTATCATTCATATCATTATCCTCATATTCATCCTTTATCATTTATATCATGATCTGCTAATCATCTCCTGCATCTCTTTATGTTCTTATTCATATCATTAGATGGTTCGCAACCTGTTGACCTGCCGCAAGAGTACCGTTCCCTACTGCCCTCCCCGTACTGTGGAGTTCCCTCTGACGGGAAACGTCGACCACTACTACTTTACTCGCCGCCAGCGCCTTGATGGTACTAACCTCCAGCAGGGAGGACAGGCGAACTGCCAGGCACTGGTGGTTCAGCAGCAGGCTGGGAACCGAGCTAGGCGCCAGGCGCCCCACCAGGGAGCTGGAGGAGACCCTGATGATGATGGTGATGAAGGCGTCGGAGGACATGGGAATCCACACCATGCTCAGGGTGGGTGGATTGTGACGATCTGCACCCGTGATGGAAGAGAGTGCTTCTTCCACCGCCAGCTTGTGGACCTTCTTCACCAGCAGTTCGGCCACGGGATGTACGCTGTGGAGTACCGAAGTGAGCACTGGAGCCACCCCGTCTACTCACCCTACTGGAGGATCTGCGCTCATATTGGAAGGCCTAACTCCGTCATGCGTGCTCTTCGAGTGGTGTCCATCCATGAAGCCCCTGCTCCTAGGTCTACTAAGATGGCGGGCATCAGTGATGAGTCTTGTGTTAGGTTGGTACACCACTGACTCACGTAGCTAAGCGACGTACTAACGTTCTAGACGTGGTACTTATTTATTACACATAAGGGGCATCTCCTAATCAGCCCTACTACGACCGCTAGCAGCTCCATAACGCGGGTCTTCACGGGGCAGAGAGATAGCCGGCCACTGAGGTGGTGGTGGCGCCAATCCTGTTAGCTGAGCCTCCAACTCAGCAATCCTCCTCCTGTCTTCCTCCTGCTGTTGGCGCAGCTGCTTGATCTCCACGAGAGAAGCATTCAGCTCCAACACTGCTAACAGCCGCACTGTAGGGGCCATCCTGTTACTCTACTCTCCTGCTGTAGAAGCAATCCTTGCTGCAAGCTCTCCACGGCGCCTGCGAGGGTAGTAGCAGTTCTGATCCTGGCTGATGAGGTGGAAGAAGTGGTCGTCGCGGTAGGCGAAGAACGCCTGACGAGTTGCATCACTGATGCCC